AATGGAATTGATAGAAACTGCAAAACACAGCTTTTACAACATACCTCTAACATTTATACCTTGGAGAGTCCAAGGATTGAATAGATGAGGACTGTTGGATTAAAGTCAGATCGCACGGTGGACAACATTAATTAGCACGACCCTCAAAGTGGGCACATTATGCGAGGAGGCGTTATTATTAAAACGCAAGACAAGTGCCTGACAAGAGGGACACGTGGCGAAAAAGCAGGTACGACAGAAAGGGTGTGAGGCGGAAGACTTTATTTCTGTCAATTAATGAGGCATTATTCGAAAATTAAGCGGGAAACTCGTCAGAGGGTCGATATCTGACACCACGCCACCCAGGAGGTCGATGAAGTACAAATTTACTCTTAGATCGAGTCATTTAGACTCGGCCAGAGTGGGAGGGACTAGATGATATAGGATATGATATACCCCAAGCTAAACCGGTCCACTGAACCAGACGGAGGGGTCATATCATGAAGGAACAGAGTCAGACAATGGGAAGATCGAGCAAAATAACTTGTCAACCAGTCAAAGAGTCCACCAATCCATCGCTCGCCCAGATAAGCGATCGAGCAACCTATTCGACCTCAGCAAGTTGATCATCTCGCGGACTCAACACTCGATAGATCGGCCTAGTTACAAGCGCGTGTAAGAGCCTCCAACCGAATTTCAGAAGAATATTTACCCCATGTGCAGGGGGACACGTGTCCAGAATATATTGGTTGATAGCGATAACCACCTCTGACAGCTCCCAATGCCCCGCGCCAACTCTGACATGTGCGCGGCGTGTCAGAGTACGGACGGGCAGCTTGGGCAGCCAACTCATCCTTGTCCGGGCAGCTATTAGGGTAGGTATCTCATCCCTATATAAAGGAGGTGAGTCTTTCTCCCTTAATACGATTTCTCTATTATTCACTTCAATATACTCATACACATACTGACTTAAGCATCGAAGGCTCTTCACCGGACACAACCCCCGGTGTGAGAGTTATTTACAGGTTTCCGGCGTTCTACTCGTGAGGACAAGAATCGATCTACCCTAAACCGGACCAGGATGTGCATACTTGCATTACATTAGGAAGGGAATATTCCTACTAGAATCTTGTCTCAGGTTAGGAGACTTGGGAGTCTTCTAGAAGGTGATGAGTAGTACGAGAATTCTATCCTAGATTGGATTAGGAGATGGAGTAGAATTATGATTCGTTGGCCTAATGGGATAAGCCCATATTTAGCACCTTCTTAAAGTCCCTAATGGAACCTATAAATACACCATGTCCCAACCTCTTGCAAGATGATGTGTTGGCCGATTTTTCTCTCTACATACACGTGAGAAATAACATCGTTCGAGAGTTAGGGACATTCGATTAAATGTTCCACCAAGTTTAATCGAAGTAGGTGTTTAGGTAATCCGTTAGAAGGCTTTTGGGTACAATTTATTCAAGCCTTTATACATATATTTTTTCCGGTCATCTTCCTCACCTCATCGCCACCGTCCGCCGGCATGAGCCACCGCCGAAAATCGCCAACCTCCGCTGGAGGTCATCCGAGCCCATCCGAGTGCAACCGCGCACAACCAGGCCCCTCCAGCGACACCTCGCGAGCTTCTAGTGCCACCTGATCGCTTTGCCGTGCACGCCCGCGTGGTCCCAGATGCGCACGCCCACTCCGCTTCGGCATAGGCATCCCGTCCGTGTACGCGCACATGCCCTAGTGCATCGCCAACCCCTGTTCGTGAGTTCCACCAGTCGCGCGTCACACCCAGCGTCCGAAGCGCACCTGCTGACCTGCCAGCGACCGCGACCAGCGACCTGCCCGCTGCACCCGATGTCGAGACCTGACTACCATGTGACTCAGGTTCGTGTGATTTATCGATTAGGATCGATTAAAGGCAAAATCTATTTGCCCATTAGATTGTGGTGTTCAGACGAACTACATCAACGGTATTCTACATCGGCTTTGAGTCGACAAAATTTTTAAGCGTCCCTATCCTAACTATAGATTCCGTTGCATTAGGATTTATTTCAATAAGTTATATACTGTGCATGTTGTTTGACATTCCTCATAGAACCCAACACGTAGTACTTCTAGTTCAATGGCTCGAGACGTTAGGGCCCCTGACCACAGATCACAAAAAGGGGTGCCTGGAGTTTGGGAGAGACAAGAAGCGAATCAAGTTGCAAACCGAGGACTTGGGAGAAGAGCCCGAGGAAGTCGAGGATGTCAAGTTCATTAT